CCCAAAAAAAAACAAACAAACAAAAAAACAAAAAGCAAAGCAGTGCTGTCAACACAAAGGTACAATAGGCAGAAAACTAATCTAAAGTGCTGAGTTCGGACAGTTCTGATTGGGACCATCCCAGAAACACTAACCTGGGTTTGCTGTTAAGGCATGACTGAGCTGAATCCAGCAATCTCGGAAGAAATATAGTGAGTGTTCTGAATTTAAAAAAGTGTTACTTAAAATATATTTTACTCAACTAATATATAACTGAAAAATAGTAATAATGAAAAAAAATGCAATTAAGTCCATAGGTTTTTGGAAAATAACACAAATTCTGTAAATGTGCTTCTGTACACCACCGCCTTCTCATATTGAGCGATTCAGTGAACTGAACGAGTGCGAGTTCAGCACTTCACCTCCAGATCTTTTGTTTGCTTTTTTGTATTGGGGTTTTTTGCAGTGGAAGAGCGAGGGAACAAACTGAACATGAAATTACTTGGGATTTCTTTCACCATGCACTGATTTGGTATGTTTGTGTTCGTAGGACTGACAAAGAAGACTTACATTGAAACGGTCATCAAAGCCATCCAGAAGTGTAAGGAGGAGGGAGCGGACATTGATGTCAGGTAGGTTTACCCAGCTGTGTGCAAGTCCACACATTTGTCTTATGAGTTGTGGCTGTGTCACTGACCACAGCGGTGCATGATTCTCAATATTATTTATCTTGAAGGTTTCTGGTAGCCATTGACCGCAGAAATGGGACTGAAGTTGCCTTGGAGACGGTGAATTTGGCTGAGGAGTTCATGCTGTCATCTGATGGTTTAGTGGTGGGAGTTGACCTCAGTGGAGATCCAACGGTTTGTCAGACAGTTTGGTACTATGGTGGCTTTGTACTAATAGCTACAGATCCAGTTACTCTGTATTTTACTGGCATTGTTTGGGTCTATTTGAGCCATAATAGGAATGGTCACCGTCTAGTTTTGTGATGAAATATGTCTATTCTGGTGGGAGTGGACTTTTCCAGGGTGACAAAGAAAAGTTGTTAAATCGGTCATCTCAAATAACTTCTGCAGAGCACAAGAGTTTAATTTTTGAAAATGATGTAAACTGTATGTCCTTAAATCTCATCCTTAATTCCCCATTTTTATTCTTGGACTCTACTAGAGAAGCTTTGCATGATTCACAGTTTTAAAGTAATCCTTATTTATCTTAAACTGGGCCTTGATGAAGCTCCTCAATTCACCCTTTATCTGAAACAAACCATTTTAAATAATCTTGCTTCAAGGCCAGTATTGCTTTTACCAGACTTTCTTCCAATTGGCAGCTTCTTGCAAACTGAAGGTGTTAATACTGAGCTTTTGGCTCACAGGGATTAATTGCACATATGCTGATCTCATTATTAAAAACTTTTAAAACATGTTAAACACCAGAAACCACGCTGTAGCAGTATTTGTATGAAAGAAAATAAGAGGTAGCTTGTTAAATTGACTTTAAATTATGTTGGGAAACTGTATTGTAATGCTATTTATTAGTAGGACCACGTCTCATTATTTCACATGATAATGTAGCTTTCATTTTAAGGTGGGCCATGGCAAAGATCTGCTTCCTGCCCTACAGAAGGCCAAAAACTCTGGACTGAAGTTGTCACTGCACCTCTCAGAAGTATGAATAGCACACTTAAAAAATAGAGAGAGATAGACAGAGAGAGATAATTTGACTGTAGTAATATTTTACGTAAGAGTGATGTCATCAAATATTGTTGCAGATTCCATCACAGCTGGATGAATCAGATTTGCTGTTGAGTCTTCCTCCTGACAGAATCGGTCATGGCACCTTCTTACATCCTGAAGTCGGTGGATCTCAAAGCCTCGTTAACAAAGTGGTTCAGAAAAAGATACCAATAGGTGACGCAGCATCCACGCTAAGATGTTTTCATTTTAAAATGTGTGAACTTTTAATCAAATTTATGCCTCACATGCACACTGTTCCTGTGCTGCAGGATCACAGTGACTGAGGCATTTCGCTACCGATGCAGTTTCACTCTGAAAAGCCAAAATTGAAAGTTTGAGGGGTGAAAATAAGCGATGCAGACACATCCACATCTGTCGGTCCACATCTTATCAGTGATACTGACAAAATAAAAATATAGCAAGTATGTTGTATTGACAACATATAGGGAATACTACGAGGATTCTAAATATCACATTATAGTCTGAATCCAAATATCATGTCACACTTGACCTCTGACCTCATGTTTATGTTTCACCCTTTCAAGTTATTCATGTTCAGTTATTTACAAATCAATACATATCATTCATTATCTGCTCCTGTGTGTGTAATCAAAGTGAACATCTGTCATGTTTTGCTTATCTGATCTTTACTGCACTACCAACTTAAAGAAAACAAAGTGAATATTAACAACTCAATACTCAGTAGTTAAAAGTAAATTGTCCCGATAGTGAGCTGCGTTATGGTGGAGGTTTGAGCTCGCAGTGCGTCTTTTTTGACGTACGAGCAGAACTTTTCATGTTGATTTTTTTCTCCTCTGTAGAGCTGTGCCTGACATCAAATGTGAAAGGCAACACTGTGCCGTGTTACTCCAAACATCATTTCAAGTACTGGTACGAGCTGGGACACCCAACTGTAATTTGCGTAAGTTTCCACTGTAACCTCATTAGGCTAAATTCTTGCATAGTCTTGATCTTACACCGAGCCTTCAGCAACAGCTGAATTAGTTTTAGCTCGTCTCCTTTTTAAGCCATCTTTTATTCTGATTGGCTGCTCCTCTCAAACACAGGGTTTAGAAAGCAGGTGGGTGGAGCTTCTGTGGGAGCCAAGTTGGGGGAAAAAACTGAACCGTACTTTTCAGAGCAGTCTGAAGTCTGAGCTTAGAGGCGTTGCCTGCACATTCTTTTTGCCATGTTTAATATAACCAGCCACCTTTATCACAGTGTATACACATAACAGGAAAGAAGGAAACACACAGGTCCTATTTGAATTAGGGCTGTGGAGGCTTTAAAATATTGGCATACAAGTAACATACTGATGGTGAAGTTATTACCATTTCTTTTTTACTGTCTTTAGACAACCACAAAACGGTGGGGCACAGCATTAACATCCTGTCACAGGTGTGGGTAGATGTAGTTTTTCTTTTAGATTAACACAGTAGAAATAACTTTCTACTTGAACAAAAAATAGATCAGAGACCTGTGAGAGGAAAGGGGGGGGGGAAAAATCACACCTGAACAATGTTCCTTTTTTTACATTACAGACCGACGATAAAGGAGTCTTCTGTACGGACTTGTCTCAGGAATATCAGCTGGCAGCTTCCACATTCGGTCTCAGTCATGAAGCCGTGTGGAAGCTCTCTCAGCAGGCCATAGACTGCATCTTCGGACCAGAGATTGTGAAGCAGCAGCTTCAAGAGAAGTGGAATGACTTACATCCTCAGCTTTTCAAGTGATCGGTTCATCGGAGCCAAAAGCGAACTACATACCTCAAGTTTTAATTATTTTTTTTTTAAAGCAACAATTTAACAAGGATTTACAGAAACCCTTACATTAAATCTAAAAATACTGTAAAATGGTTTATGTAAGTGGAAAGTAAATCATAACTTTTTATTTAATCAGGCTGAAGTGTGATGCTTTGTTCTGTTGACAGTATCTGTGCAGTGTTACACAGTCGAGAGGAGCAAAATTGTTCTTACAGCAACTGACAGCATACAAAGAGCAGAATTTAACACAAAACAATAAAAATAGACTATGCAGTCTTACAGTTACACTCATAGGCTTACAATTCAGTCCAAGATATCCCAAATTCTCCAGATCACACATGTAGTCTTGTCAATACTGTGTCCACTTCACTCTCACGCCTTCTTTCCAAATTTTCCATGCTTGTTCTTCTTGAATTTTCCGTGTTGCGTTTCCTTCTTTTTTAATTTTCCGTGTTGGGGAGCTCCATTGCTCGCTATGGGGGTTCCTCCTTCCCATTTCCTCTTCTTGTCACTGTTGGAAGCAGGTCTTCATTACAAACAAGCTTTTCCAACAACTGAACACTAGATTTCTCACCAAACATTGTAAGTAACACTCTACCTTTTTATGCTGACGATAGCTGTGCTCCCTGCTTTCTTCAGCACCTGGTCCCACTCCTCATCGTCCCCACGAATTTTGTACCTCAAAAAAACAAAAAGACAGCTAGAGTAATACTGGCCTAAAAAAAATGTAATGGCCAAGGCTGCCCTTCAAACACGATACTCACTGTTCCAGGTCCATTTCCTTTACTTTTTCCACATCTTGTTTGTGTCTCTCCTCAAACTCCTTTGCTGCTTCATTCTATGAACAGAGAGGGGAAAATTCCTTCTTTACTTGTATCTATAAAATGTAGGTGTGACACTTCTGAAACCGAGACCAAAGTTGACATAAACACTGTGGGGGTTTTGTGGTTCCATCTTTGTGTTTTGTAATACAGAGAAACAGCTTTACAGGCACAGCAACCCCATCCACCTGCTCTTCAAACTTTCAGCCAATCAGAAGGGAGCTGCCATACGGAGGAGGAAGGGCGCTAAAGCTGCAGAGCATGCAAAGCTGCTTCTAGAAGAGTCCATGAATAAAAACGTGAAGCCATAAATGAGCATAAAAGGCCAACGAGAACTGAAAGCTAATTAGAAATGCATCAGAATAACGAGTTCACTCTCAGTTCATGATCAGGTCGTGTTTATGGCTGTGGTTTAGGGAAAAAAAAAAAAACCAATTTAACTTTTTTCTTTTTCGTTTCTCTTCGAGTAAATGAAAAGATAAAAGATTGTGGAAAAAACTGTTGCCGGAAATTTGAAACATGACATGAACTGTGGATGTGGCGAGTCATTAAACCCTTAAACAAAAGCATAAAATTAAGGAGGAACTTTCTGCTGCTTCCTTATGATGGATTAGCACCAACTTATGACCCCTGAAGCTGGATTAGTCTCTCCTGCTGAGATTTTTGCTCTACAAGGGCCTGATATCCACTTACGAGGACATTATACTGCTACGCTGGGGCGACCGTGGCTCAGGGGGTTGGGAATCGCATCTGTAACCGGAAGGTCGCTGGTTCGATCCCTGGGCTCTCTGTCCTGGTCGTTGTGTCCTTGGGCAAGACACTTTACCCTACTTGCCTACTGGTGTTGGCCAGAGGGGCCGATGGCAGCCTCGCTTCTGTCAGTCTGCCCCAGGGCAGCTGTGGCTACAACTGTAGCTTGCCTCCACCAGTGTGTGATTGTGAGAGTGAATGAATAGTGGTATTGTAAAGCGCTTTGGGTGCCTTGAAAAGCGCTATATAAATCTAATCCATTATTACTGTTCTATCAGAATATTAAACAAATATCCTCATATGTGGCTCTTATTTTTCATAAAAACAAAAATAAGGTAAAAAAAAATAAATAAATCTGGTAATTCTTTGTTTTTACATTCATCGGGCCCCAATATGCCCAAATATCAAAGAGAAATTAAAAATGCATGCTGTGGAAGAGTTCGGGTCTTAGGAGGTTAATGCTAATAACCTGTAAATTATTCCAGCATTAGCTAATCATCAGAAATAATTTAGCACACATACCAGATCTTCACTGAGGCTTCTGACAGTTGGCTCCATTGCAACTTCTTTAGTGGCTGCCATCTGTGCTTCAACTGCTTTTTCTTGGATGCCGGTGAAGATCTAATGCAGTAATAATGAAAAGATATGATGTTACAGCCTTACTGCAGCTGCTTTAATTAACAGTGAGTTGTACATCATCCACAAGTGAGGTTTTTCTGTATGACTTAATTATTGGCAACTCACTTGCACAAATTTACGGATGACGCGGTTGAAGAGGCCCATGAGCTGTGAGCTTGGAAGCCCAATTTCCTTTTCCAGCTGATCCACAGACTTATGCTGCAGTCCGATTCCCAGCAGCAAAGCCTACAGCACAGCGGACATCAGCCAGTTAACGTCTTAAACAGAGGAATCAGCTGCATTGGAAGGATACCCGTCATATAAAATGTTGATGGAAACGTACACACTGCGCTGCTGAGAGAGACATATCGCCGAGCTGCTTGAGGAAGAACACGCGTGCCACCGTTGGCACCAGGTCCATAATGAGGTGGTAATCCACCATGCTCCTCGAATACAGCTCCAGACGTTTGAGGTCATAAGGGCTGAAGTGAGCCGCCAGCTCTGAGCTGCTGAGAACTGTTATGATGAGAGACAAGTCAGACTGGGGTGAGGTCTACGCTGGAGAAATCAGATCAGGGTGTTTTAAACAGAGGACTCTTACTGCAGGTATTCTCCTTGGACTTCTTATTCTGCAAAATGCTCAGTGCTAGACTCGGATGAAAGTTGCTGAACTGGTAGGAGAGCAGAGACAGGAAGCGCCGACGAAAATCTGAGGAAGGGGAAGAAGAATTGTTCTAAAGGAGCCTGACAAGCTTGAGCACACCAGTTCTCCTCAGGCAGTGTAAGCATGTTCACCTTTCGAGAAGGCAGAAAGCCACTGGCTCTGCTCCGGGGTTTCATCTGTATTTAGCTCCTTCAGCATCACGCAGGAGTGCTCCCCTGTAAGGTCATTCTACATACAACCGCACATGAAAAAAATAATTACAGCAGTGCAAAAAAACAACAACAACAACAACAAAAAGAAACATGAAAAAGTGACTGAATGGTACTTACTGGGGTTTGTCTCAAGTAAACTGGAATATATCCTGCCTTCTTCCAGAACCTGTTGTGGTTGAAATCAGATTCATTTTTATACACTTCCAAAAGATTCATCCCCTTCACTTCATGTTAAGTCAACTCACTTAAGCAGTTGTGCAGTAAGGCCATAGGAAACGCCTAAGTAGTCCAGTTTCTCTGCCCTCCTCTCACTCAGCTTCAGCAGAAGAGGAGGGAGCTCCTTGCGTGGAGTGATCACCTCTTCCAGCAGACTCACAGCCTGCACAACAAACCGTAGCGAGGTTCACTCCGGTTACACTTCAAGTGCGCAAATAATGTCTAGCAGATGTTGCTGAAAACACCGGTGTCTTACCTCACTGCTGACAGAGGTGATTTCATTGTGGTTTGATTGTGTGCTCTCATCCATCGTGGGAAACTTGCCCTCGTAGTACATCTGCAGCAGCTGGAGAGCTCTGGAGCCGTAGCCCATCTGGTGCACAGGTCGATTATTCAAATTAACTGTGTTACTATGCCAACAAAAGCTTCGGGAACTTTCATTTCCCAAATTTCACTAACTTCCTGAGGGCAAGCATTCCTCTGTCATGTGGAGATTTCTTTTGTTTACACAGTAAGGCCATAGCCTTAAAAAGAAAAAAAGAAAACAAACGGCTTTTCCCTCTGAATCACGTCATTCATGCGCTGACAGGTTAAAAAAAACAATGCTGCAACCAAGCACTGAAGTCTGTATTCACCTAAGGGGTGTAATATTATCTCCCCTAAACTTAATTTAGATGCATGGTCTAGTGGACAGCTATTTCTTTATTTTTATTTGTTTTTTTGTTTTTAACTACTAAAACCTTTTCAGGGAGCTAAAAGATTCTTTCAGGACATTGTTTGTCTGAGTTTCCTGTGCAGAGAAGACCCTCTGAGATTAAGCTAATAGGTCAGCTGCATCTACACATGAGACAAACCCCCCCCCCCCAAAAAAAAAAAAACCAACCCAAAACATAGGGACCAGGTTACATCTTTCTCAGTCTCTTCTATCATAGTCCCCAGGCACTCCTGCATCACCTCATCTGTCAACCTGTCCAAGCAGTTCCAGGTCTGTTTTGCCTAAATTAATGCCGCTGCCATTTGTTATTTTATAGTGTGGCACTTCTCTCGCAGAAATCTCTCTGGACACGTAAGTGATGTAACAGGCACCACCCCACAGATCAATTTCTAACATGTATTCTTCATCACGTCATCTCTTTTTATTTATTCTGCTGTTTTTCACATAACTGCTGATGGGTTTCAGGGTTTTTAAAAATTGTATTTTTGGCTGTTATTATCTTCTCTGAGTTTAACCTAGGAGTAATTCAGGGCCGCTCAGAAGTACCCCAGAATAGGCGCTTCTTTCTTTCCAAAAACAGAGTTTGCTTCATGCCTTAGTGGACTGCACATGAAGCTTTGGGCCACCCAAAACAAAACAAAACAAACAAAAAAAAAAAGCATAATAGTTCCTGCAGACAAAAATGCCCTTTAGGAAATTCCTCACCACTCTTACTCCCTGAGGAAAGCAACTGCAGCGGAAATATTTCAGTACAGTGTATATCAAGAAAAACATGGCAGATTCTTACTCCTTGGTAGTCTGGATTAACAGCAATGCGCACCACTCTACCTCCTGAGAGGGTGCCAAACTCCGGGTCTTGAAACTGTGACAAGAGTAGAGGATTCAGTATTAGTTTAAAAATGTCTTCACTGGACTGTAAAAGAATGAGCTGTAGTGGTTTTGTTGAAGGTTTTGTACCTGCTCTGAGACAGTCC